AAACTAAACCAAGAGGAAAATGCAGACATTTAAAGGATGGCGGGAGGTGGTAAGGTGGAAAACATGATTAAAAAGATCCCCAAACCACAGTACAGAAATTATTAGAATACCTAGAAATAACCCTCATTGGAAAAGTATGTGACCAAATTTTTCAAAACTATATAAGAGGACTATGTGCTTTATACAGCAATCTTCAAAGTTTATCTTAAAAACTACTAAGGAAAAAATAAGAAAACTTAAATGGAGAAAATAACAGATTCTTACAATGGGAAGACAAATGGTTCTTTACAACCTTATCTATGAATTTAATCTACCAAAATCCCAACAGGTTTTTTTTGGGGGGGGAAGCGGGAGGGGGGGGGCTGGGGAGTGGAAACATGACATAATTATTCTGAAGATCTCGGAAAAGAATCAGCATCTCTGAAAACATGGGGGAAAATAACCTGAAAAGAACAACTGAAGTCAGACTATAAAAACACAATAGAGCTACAGTGATAACACTGGGTAAGCACTGAGGTAGCAATAGAGAGAAAAGTAAAAAGATGACAAAAAAACTCATGGGTAACCGAAATTTAGGAAATTCTTTACGGAATTTCAAACTGCTGAGAAAAGTTTCCTTGGCCCTGACCAGGTAGTTCAGTTGGTTAGAGTTGTCCCGTTATGCCCAGACTGTGGGTTCCATCCCTGGTCAGGGCAAATACAAGGATCAGTATTTGTTCCAAGGTGGAACAACAAATTGATGTTTCTCTCTCTACGTATAAAACCATTTTCTTCTCTCTACATATAAAACCAATCAGTCAATGAAAAGTTTCTTTGAATTTACCGTTATGGAATTTTATAACTTAAAATGCTTAATACGTTTCTTTCTACTTTATCTGCTCTAATAAGAACATCAAAAGCTATGATTATTCCTTAAGTACAGCTCTGGCTACACCAAACAGTTTCAATGGGTTTCTATTACCGCTGGTGTATGTTCGTTCTGTCTTGGCTGTTTTAGTTTCCCTCTTAACACAAGAGTTGGGTAAAAAGGAATTTTGATCTAAGTGGTCAGCCTTATTTCTTTCTACTTTTTGGTGTTTAATTTCTAGATTCACTGCATTGTTCTCAAAAAACATGGTTTATACTGGTCTTTTTTGTTGTTCTTAAAGGTTTCATTGGGCCCAGTATGTGGTTGGTATTTATAAAAGGGGTGTGGACCCTAATTACAGGGTATGGCCTTTAAAGGATAAGTGCTTCTAAATGGAGGTGCCCTCAGAACTGCTGTGAAGCCCGAGCAGGCCCCACCCCAGCCTGTCCACTGGTCCAGGGCACCGGGGTATCTGTTCAGAGCAACATGTGTGCACTTAGCCAGGGACAGTTAGGTCACCAGCCTCGATCATTGTTAAGGTTTCTCTCCCCCATTTGCCTTTCTTCTTCTTTTTTGAGATTTTATTTATTTATTTTTGGAGAGAAGGGAAGGGAGAAAGAGAGAGAGAAACATTGATTGGTTGCCTCTCAAATGTGCCCTGACCAGGGCCTGAACCCACAACCCAAGCACGTGCCCTGACCAAGAATCAAACCAGCAGCAACCTTTCACTTTGTGGGATGACACCCAACCAACTGAGCCACACTGGTCAGGACTCCCCCACTTACTTGTAATGTCTTTGCTCTGCCAAGGACGGCAAAACCATGCCTTCCTCCTCTCCAGCATCTTTCCCATATACTCCTCAACCTGATGTAATGAGAAACAGGCACATCTGTGACTGTCACATCTGCACTGCAGCATGGACTGGCATTCAGTTCTTAGGGATTTTTCAGAAATAGCACCAAGGCTAGAACATATCATAAATGAAAATCTTGATAACATTAAAATTAAGCCAATAAACTACTAAGATAAATGAAAAACCTCCATTATTACCAACAGTTGGTAAGTTGAGGAAAAAACAGCTGCAACACAGATCACAAAAGAGCATCCTTCCTATGTAAAGAGTTCTTGCAAATCAAAAAGATCAATATATGGTGTGGGTATAGAATCCAGGGAGGCAGCATTGAGTGGTTAGTTGGGATAGTCACTAAACTTGAGTTTCAGCTTCTTTATAAGTAAAATGGTAATAGCACTACCTATATCACTGACCTGTGAGGCTAGAGGACTCACAGTCAATGACCCAGTTTGGGTGCCTGGCATACAGTGATCAAAAAATGGTGACATAAGTCACTGTTGGTTAAGTGTTATGATTTCTTTTGTTAAAAAGTTTATCAGGCAGCAAAAAAGGAAACAACCACTGAAGCAGTCAACAACCGGGATGGAGTTCCAGGAAACCATGCTGAGTGGGCAAAGCCAACTTCAAAAGGAGCCAAGCTGTGTGGTTCTGTGTATATTACATTCTCAATGCAACAAAATGTGGAGATGGAGAACCGCAAATTAGTGGTCTACAGGTGCAAGTGACAGTGGGGTAATGGAACAGCTCTGTGTCCCAATTGTAGAGGCAGCTTCATGGACCTACACACGGGACAAACTGCACAGAACTAAACACGCACACATGCACTGGTGAGACCTGAATAAGCTGCGTACTGTATGAAGGCCCTCTTCCCAATTCCACATTATATTACAGACGTGCAGGATGTCGGGGGACTGGGGTTGGGTGGGGAATGGGACCTCTGTGCACATTTCTTTGCAATGTCAATGAATCTATCATGATTTGAAAATAAAAAGTTAGCTCTGACCATTGTGGTTCAACTGACTGGACGCTGTCCCGCAAAGCAAAAGGTTGCCAGTTTGATTCCCAGTCAGGAAACATGCCTGGATTGCGGGCTTGTTCCCCAATTGGGGTATGTTTGAGAGGCAACCGATTGATGCTTCTCTCCCTTTTTCTCTTTTCCTCCCCCTCTCTCTAAAAATAAATAAATAAAATCTTTTTAAAAAATCAATTAAAATTATTTAAAAAAATAACTGCACATATCCTAGGCAAGGCTGCCCTTGGACCCCAACACTCCACAGCCACTATTTCAGTCACTTTTAGAGATACCTCCTATTTCGGTCCAGGCCATTAATTTTCTGATAGAAAGTGCCCTTTTGGAATAAATTTAAGAGAAACAAGTTGACTTCAAGTCAATACCAGGAAAATGCAAGACCAAAACATACAAGGAGACGCGAGGGGGAGATTGTGGCTGGGGGAACCACTAGCATTTGTAAACTCTTTGATAAATGGTAGTGTCCCCCTTACGCTGACATGGCTTGTCTGGAGGGAGGGTGACCTATTTACTGATGAAAGAAGGGTTTGGACAAGACACTCCCAGACCAAAGTGGTCAGGCCCAGAGGGAGCGCAGGCACTGCAGCAACCACGGAATATCAACCTGCAAATGTTTACAAGGGCTCCCACTGAGACTGGGCTAGGCATCAGTGGGAAGCCAGTCTGGGTATGGGGTGTCTTAGGGGGAACCCTTACCCTGGGCCATGGCTTTGGCTACTTAGGGCTGTTGGCCTTGTGAGTGGATGCCGGATTAGGGAAGACAGCACAGGGCAGAGGCCCAAGGGGAGATGAAGGCACATCTGTGCCAACTCCTGTAGGAAGCCCCCGGGCCCTGGTTCTCTGCCTTAGGCAGCGAGTGGCAGCACACTAGCCCCTATGGGCTATTTCAGAAGAGAAGGGATGTGGGGATTTCCACACCTCAGGGAGGATTCTAGCTGGCCCTGCTGACACTTCCTCAGGCAGAGAGGAAGGCCAGTGCAGGGCACCAGGGTCGGCAACACAATGTTCCTCCCTTTGGGGTGGCAGTGTGAATGTAAACCACCCCCTCAAAACCCCCTTCTCCTCCAGCCAGAGCTCACTGAATATCCCAGTGGAATTCAGAAATGACTCTAAGACAGAATCTTCTGTCCTGGATCTCAGATGCATGGAAGGATGTGGCGCCAATCATGGGGTCTCAGAAAGATGCGGAAGTCCACAAAGAGTGCCAAAGGCTCCCCCAAATCCTCCCAACAGCTAGAGCAGATTCCCCAACATGCACATGGCAACTCTCCACTCACAGCCCTCCAGGGTTTCCACCTTCCTCGGGGTGAAAGCCCAAGTCCTCATCGCAGCACACAAGGCCCTGCACAACCTGCCATGTTCACTCTGCTCCAGGCACACAAGCTTCCTCCCTATTTCTCCAACATGCTATATGCCAGGCAAGATCCTGCCCCAGGACCTTTGCATGGGCTATTCTTCCTGCCCTGAACCCTTCTTCATGTCTCCGCAGAGACCATCCCCAACTGGCCTGGCTTTGTGGAAGTTCCTCTCCACTGCTCTGCTTCCTGACCCATTGCAGGTTCCTTCAGGCCATATTGTCCATCCTCCTACAGCCATGTCATCAGCATTCAGTGCCAGGTAGAGTGACTGACTTGTCCAGGTTTGCCTGGCTGTATACCCAGTTTGAATGCTCTCAGTAACCTTCAGTATCCTCCTGTGTACCGTTAAGGGCCCAATACATGCTTGAATGTAAACAGCCAGGAGCTGGGCCTCATCTAAGGCTTACAGAATGGGCAAGATTTATTAAGAGCTGGGACTCTATGTCACGCCCCTGCTGGGCTTCAGTTTCCTCTTTGGGGATGGAATAGAGACCCAGGATCCCACTGGGGCAAAGAAGACCTCAAAGGCTCAAGTCCCTGCCTCACACAGGACCCCCTTGTGAGTGATACAAATGATTCCCATCTCTAGGCCAGGGGCCCAGGCTCCAGGTGCAGGACAGATGTTACACTGACCTCCAGGCTCCCTCTGTGACACTCAATGCAGGTCGTGTGACTGTCACAGCAGCTGGTTCTCAGGCTCGCTATCCCCAGCCTCCACTCCAACTGCTGGACCTGGGCGCCATCCCCCATACACCTCCTCTGGCACCCTGTCCACGAGCCTGCATCCAGCCTCAGCCCCACTCTACCTTCTAGGTCTGGTGCTGCACCCCATTCCTTCTCTGCTCCAGCCCACCTTCTACACACTCTCATCTTTTTGTGCAAACTCACAGCCCCAAGGTGGCAGGGTCCTACCTGAGCCTCCAAACTGGGTGCCAGGCAGGGAAGTGGGCCGGCTTTTCCCATTGGCCACCGGTAGGGGGAACATCTGTGGGGAGGGAGAGAGCAGTGAGTGGGGTTGGGGGCACATCCAGGGATGCAGCTCTGCCTACCGGGGTCCTGTCCCATCAGAGAGACCGGGCAGGAAAAGGTAGCCAGGGGTCCTTTCACTGCACACCACCTTAACCCAGCCCCTCTGACAGCATAACCCACCAGTGGCAACAATATCCAGTGGAAGCTGAAACTGCCTGTTCACACCAGACTTGTATTCTTTTGAGTGGAATAACTTATTTAGCACTTGATACAATTTATCTGCTCTTAGACATGATACGAAGTTTCAGCTTTAAAAAGTGAAACAGGTTGACAGGGGCCAGCCCACCATCATGTGCAAGACCTTTTCTGACAAGCCTGGAATCCCCTCCTGTGTTCGTTCATCTCTGACCCCAAGTGGCAGGGATATGGGGAGGACAGCCAAGCCCCACCCCTGGGACAGAGAGCATGACCCAGGTGGAGTGTCCCTCACATGCTGAACTCTGTGCTCAGCAGCTGTCTGAGCAGCCCTCAGTGCACCTTAGGTGCTGATACCTGCCCTTCAGAAAGGGAAACTGAGGCTCAGCCAGGAAGCTAAAGGGATTCTGGAAAAGCTATATGCCCACCCCCCATCATTTATTGGGTGATTCCCTGGGTGCCACCCTCCCTGCTCAAATAGTCAGTGTAAAGTTCCTGTAGATTAAACAGCTTAGCGGTACTAACAGGAAAATCCAACATCAACAAATCCTTTGCTACGAAAAAAACACACGTCATCACTCTGCCCAACAGATCTGGGTTTTACAAATTCCGTTTGGGGACCAGATGATTAAAAGTGGCCAGAATTGGGGTAAGTGGTTTGTTGGGGAATGGCTAATGGTTCCCCCAAACCTTCCCAAGCCAGCAGGGAAGCGGAGATGCAGCTCTCACCTACAGGTGACTTTCATGTGAGTACCATGAACCCTAGGAGTGGCCTGGGAAGTGGGGTCCTGCCCCCCATACCCCATCCTACAGGAGGGAAAACTAAGACCACAGGCTCAACTGGGCCTGGCAGGAGTTAGAGCAGAGACTCATGGGAGGCATGGCAATGGGTTCTCACCAAGTGCCCCTCTTGGGGTGATGCGTGTGTCTGTGCTCCCTCAACCGGGGCCGGCCTCCCCAGGGCCCTATTCGTCAAAATGGGTTCCTTTCTCATTGGGGAAACTGAGGTCTATGTTGGGGGAGGGGCTGGCCTGAGCAAAGACCAGAACCAATAGGACCCCAGACCTGGAGGTCAACAACTAAGCCCTGGGGGTTTGTCTTTGTTCTGTCCCCTAAACTGCCAGGGGTTCTGCCATGGTACTTGCTGCTGGGGGCAACGGGTTGTGTCCTCTGAGCACCATATGACTGATCAGCAGCCCAGAGAGGACACACACTCCTGGAGCCTCAATATTCTCTTCTGTGGAATGGACTTGGGGTTCTAACTGCATGGAATGTTGTAAAACCCCAACACACATGGATGTCTAGGGCACATAGGGGCCACCGTACACATACCAGGTTCAGAGCGGCACCCAGGTGGGTCACAGGACAAGTGCTGCCTGACTCCTCGTTCCCCTGGCCCCTCAAAAGGCAGAGGAACCATCGCAGGCGCACACAGGGAACATCACTCAAAGTGCCCTCAACACCTTCCTTTTCTATCCCAAGAAGTTTTTCTGTATTTAATTTTGACTGTTGCCTTTCCTACTTTTGAGAACCTAGCAAAAAGAAGACCTGCTTTCCTTTACGTTTCTTCTGTTTCAGTAAAAAAACAAGGTCTTTCAAAGAAACAGATGAACTCAGTTTCTCTGAGGCAGGTGAGAGGGACGCTACAGAGAGAGGATGTGAGCTGAAAGGGGAGGCTGCCTCTGCTGCTCTCCTGTAACGAGGAGATGGGGGTGAACGTTGGGCTCTGAGATTCTCTGAGAGGAGACACTGAGCACCTCAACCCCTCAGCCTGTTTCCTCATCTGTGAAACAAGTTACTGGTTTTTAGCTGGGGATGGGGAGACATTCAGACCCTCTGGACAGAAGGGGAGGCAGCTCTAACTGGTGTAACTCGGTTGGGCATGGTCCCCCACAGCGAAAGGTCACATGTTCAATTCCCAGTCGGTGCATGCTCGAGAGGCAACCAATTATGTTTCTCTCTCACATTGTTTCTGTCCCTCTCTTTCTCTCCCTTCCCCCTTCTCTCTAAAGATAAGTAAAATCTTAAAAAAAAAAAGAAGAACAGAGAGGCAGACGAGTTGTTCAAGAGCTCTCAGATGGCACAGCAGGGGCCAGCTCTGCTCCTGTGCTCCCCCGCCCCCACACAGACCTGTTCTGGCCCAGTAGTCTGTGACCTGTCGGTTTAACAAAAAACAACTGAGCTGCACCCCAGTTACTCAGCCGGGGAGGCAAAAATAAAACGGGGCTTAAAAAGACGGGCCTGGCTCTTCTGAGCTGTTGGCCTGCTGTCTCAAGGGCTGTGCTTTTCCGCAGGACGGCCAATGTTTCAGTTTGGGGACTTGTTTTTGATCAAGTTCAGTGGCCTGGGCCTGGAACTGGTGGAGAGTTAAATTCAGACCGAAAGAGTCCTCCCCAACTTGTTTCTAACCAAAATAGTGTCCGGGCGGGGGGAGGGGAGGGACTTAGGGAAGTGTCCACACTGGGTTCCCTGATTTGTGAGGCAACACTGACCATCCGGACACTCGTGACAGGTGGCCCACTGCACAGATGAGCAAATCAAGGCCTGGGGTCCAAGGTGCACTGGTTTCTGGCCTCACTTGGCCTGTCTGAGCTGTGTGACCTCTGAAAGCTAGCACCCTCCCTGAACCTCCACCTGCCTGGCAGAGAAATGGGCAGTTTGGTGTGGATTAAACTGGCTAATGTATAAGGATCTTTACCTTCCCCCATGGAGCCAACCTCTCCCCAAAAATAACAATGGCAGCCATGGCAGTGGTGGCTAAGCACTGCCCACAGATTCCCACAGTCCTCATGAGGTCTCTTCATGTCACCCGACAGCACTAGCCAGTGTGGCTAAATAAATATAGACGGCATACACCACCCTGTTTTTGAAATCCATGATGTAACAAATAACACTGGCCACCCATTTTACAGATCAGAAGGCCAAGGCCACTGTGTGCACACAGCCAAGCAGGGACCTCAGAGCTGAGCCTCCCCTTGAAGACACTGAGGCTCTGTGTAGCCCCTCCCACTCTCTGGGCCTCAGTTTCCCTACCTGGAGAGTGGTAGATTGAACCCACTCTGCGCCTGGGCAAACGCTTGGGTGACAGGTGCCTTTGGGAATCAATAAGGGCTCAGATTATGCATAATGCCTGTGTGAGGGACACCCCAATGCCCCCAGCCCCACCTGGGGGCCCCTCCATCCAAACAAGTGTTAGGCCTGGCTTCTGGGGGTTTCAGTAGGTGCTTCTTTCCTAGGAATCCTGGGGGCAGAGGGGGATGTCTGAGAGGTTGGCCGAGCCTGGCTTACCATGCTGAAGTCCAGGAGGTCACTGAGCTCCTTGTCTGTGCCCACGGGCGCCATCCTCTGCGGCTGGTTCATTCTCCAGCTGCAATGGTGGGCTCAGGGGCCAAGTGGGATACTTCAGTCCTAGAGATGGCCCTGTGTGGTAGCCTGTGGTGATGGACAGTGGCAGAGTGGACACAGGGAGGGGCAGGGACAGACATATACAGAAGAACAGGAAAAGAATAAAAAAGGTTTTTGTGACTGTGGCCTAAGTAGACAGATGGGGAGTAGGAGAGCTGTTTAAAAAGCCCTTCTAACCACCCTGAGGGGCTGGGTCCCCCTAGACTGATTCTCTTCCTGACCCTGGGGATGGGGGCAGGGCAGCCAGAATACCAGAATTCAGGGCCCCTGGAGAGACCCCTCCCCAGAGCCCTGGGAGTTGAAACAATGGGGGGGGGTGAAATGAGCAAATATAGATTTCCTAATTCCCTCTGAGACCACCAGAGACAAGCTGCAAATTTTAAACTGGAGGGAGAGCTGGAGTAGTCATTTTTCCACTTGCTGGGCCAGAACCTGCCTCCCTCAGGCCACATGTCCCCTTTCCAACCATCCCCAGGCTTACACAGCCTCGGCAGGCCAGAGGAAATTTGCTGACACCCCCCCTCCCACAAGCAGCTGTCACAGCACGTTGAAGTCTTGGTCACCCCCTAACTCAAAGTGAAAGAGATCCTCAAGAAGGCAAGGCTCCCGCCTGCTTCATGACTGAATCAAGGGAGCCCACCACCGGACCTACCCTCAAACCTCCCCCTCACCTCCTCCCCCCTCAAAAAACAACCCAACTCAGAAAAGAAAAAACAACCTTAGGTTGTTTTATTGTCACGTTGTATCCGGGAATTATTTTTAAGCAACTTTGAAAACATCCCCTCTCCCGCCCCTGAGGGAAGCCGGTTCCTAGACCAGCCCCCCCCCCCACCATGGTCCCATGGGCTCCATTCTGTTCTAGAATGGGGGTGGGGGATCCACCTGCCAGACCCCATTCCACCCCACCCCACCCCACCCCTAGGAAAGGGCGCAAAGCAAGTCTTCCTTGCCCTGTAGATGGACAACGAAGTCCCTTTAGCTTCCTCCCTGGGTCCCCGGGTGGTGGTGGGGTAGCCGTGGAGACACCGCGGAGGCTGCGGGGAGAGGGGTTCCGAGGCCGAGGGACACCCAACTTCAGGGGTGGAGAAACCCCCGCTTTGTTTGTCAACTAGAGACAGGGTGTGAAACGGCTGCCCCTGCGCACACCCTCCCCCGCTAACTTTTTTCTTTTTGGGAGGGCATGTGAAACTGACTTTTCTGAGTACGAAACCGCAATTTTTTGTGGGATAGTTGAAACCAATTTTTAAGGCAGACTGGGGTAGGGGGCTGAAACGAGCTTTAATAGGAGAGCAGAGGCTTTTGGGTGTCACAAGGACTTTTGGGGACTCGTAAGGTGTTTCGGACCATTTCGAAGGAAAGGGGGGCATGGGACAGCTTCCTTTGAGGGGGAGGCCCGAGAAACCAACCGCCCACCCCCCGCAGCCGGTGCAGGCGGCGAGGCCCGGGAGCCCTTTGAAGCTGGGGCGCCACCACTCCGCTGTTCGCAAACCCGAGCCGCCGTTGCCGCCTCTCCCCCATTAACACGGAGCAGATGTTCACTCCGCAGTTCCCCCAGCCCCCGGCCCTCAACCTGAGCCTCAATTTGCGCGGTCGCACCTTCCCGACTCAGACAAAAGGACTCTCCCTCCCTTACACGCTCCCCCCCAAACTGCAGCACCCCGTCGTGCTCCTCCCAGGGAACAGAGCACCCAGAAGACCCGCCACAAAGTTGGAAGGCCCCTTGGGCGCCCCCTGCGCCCCCTCCCAGGGCTCCGGAAAGTTTCCCGAAGTGACCGGCCCGGCCGGGGAGGGGGCGCGCGCGGGCCTCGCGTGCACCAGACCCTACACGTCGCCCGCCCCAATGCCCGGCGAGCAAAGTTGGAGAACAATGACTCCCGGCCGCCGCCCCGCGCCCGGCCCGCAATGGGGCAGGGCGGGGGGAAAACGCACCCCGGAGCACCGCCCCCTCCCCAACTTCCCGGCCCCCAAGGCATGGGGAAGCCCGGGGCAACTTTGCACAAAGACGCCGGGCCACCAAAACTGCTCGGCCCCGGGTCCCGGTGCAGTTACCTGCTCAGGGCGGCCGAGCCGCAGCGCACAGGGAGCGGCACACGTACGGACCCCCCCGCGGACAAAGGGGCGCCAGCTGGCCCTGAGGGTCGCGCGTGGGCGGCGCGTGGCCCGGGACCCTCCCCGCGTGCCCGTACGTGTTAAGGGCACTGGCGAAGGCGGCCTGCGTGGAGTACGCGGTGCCGCCGCGTCTGGTCGGCTCTGCCTGGCCCGCTACGTCCGCGGGCGCAGCCGCTGCCTCATCTTCCTGCGGCGGGAGACATGTTCCGTCCCCCCTCCCGTGGGCCGGGACACGCCCACCTCCAAGGTCCGCCCACGGCCCGCCCCGTGCGGCACCGCCTCGAATCCCTCCGCTGTCGCCACCGCCCCGACAGTCCCGTTCCTCCGGCTTGCCTTCCCGCACGCTCGTAGGAAGCCGTTGCGGCGTCCCGGAACCCAGAGTCCGGAAGTGAGGACCCCCTGCGGGTCTTTCTGCAAACGGCGCGGGTTGCGGAAGGGACTATCTTCCAGCGCGGAGGCGCACAATCCTAGGGCCATCACACCTATGACGCAAGGGAGAAAGAACCGTGAGATGGAAAGATAAGGCAGGGCGGTAGTGGCCAATCGGAGAGCTCGAAAGCCTGATTGGCGGTGCCACCGGGCATTCGTGAAGAGGCCACTCCCTCTCTCTTCGGACTGCGAAGAAAGAGGCGGTTCTCTCTGAGCTAGAGTCCCGGAGGAACGGCGGGGGTGGGCTTTGCAGTTTTATTCTCAGGTTTGCGTAGGCGCCTGCGCGGCCTCTCGGGCTTGGTCGTGTCTGCGTTCCTCGGGCTGCCTGCAGTGCTGGGTGTTGCGAGAGGGCAACCAAGGCCCAGGCCTTGGCCCAGAGCCAATGAATGAGACCCGTTTCACGCGCAGGGAAACGGAGGTTAGCTCTGTTTCAGTGTCAGAGAGACTCCCTTGGCACTTGTGCTGTGCCTGACTCACTGGGTCTGTTTTCCAAAATGTAACATGGAATTTGGACCTGAGTTTGGGCAGGACTAAGGCCAGAACAAGCCTGCTGATTCTCTTAGTACGTCCGAAGTCTTCCAGACAGCAAGAAGCTTTTGAAGACCACAGACCCTACAGAATGGGAATAATTATTATTATATATTAAATAACACTTTCATGGCTCCCCGTGTCCCCAGAAAGAAAGCCACACTGCTTCCAGGCCTGAGAAGAGGCCACCTTCCCCTTGGCCCATGGAGCTTGGGACACAAGGGCCTATTCACTGTTCTGAAAACTGCCAGGCTCATTCTCATCTCTGGGCCTTTGTCCTTACTGTGCCCCCTGCCTGCAATGGTCTTCCTCTTCCACGTGAGTCCCTGAATCAATCCATAGTTCAGGGCTGCTTCCAGCCAAGGGGGCTGGCTTGAAAGGAGAGAAAGTGGGGGGTGGGGAAGTGGAGAAGACCCCAGGGAAAGGAAGACCCCAGGGAAAGGAAGAGTATCCTAATAAAGTTACAAACCCCTCCTAATACATGTAAAGTAGGTGCCACCCACCCTGACACAGCCTTCTGGCCCAAAGAGTCCCCCACAAACCCCAGACCTGGGGAGAGGAACGAGGGTCTGGGGTCTGGGTTCGAACCCCTCAACCCTCCCACTTCACTGTGACCTGGGGCAGATTCTTGCCATACCCTGGGCCTCAGTCTTTCTGTCAGGAAAATAGAAAGGTGCAGTGATGGGCACAGTGTATGTGCCGGTAGCTCCTGCCTGCATCCCTAGGTTTCTTCCCACTAATGGATCTGGTACTTCTGAGTGAGGGCCCTTTCCTGGTGGCCCACCCCTGACCCCACAGGCTTGTGGTCTTCTGTGGGTTTCCCAGCCTCAGGGGTTTCTGGAGCACCAGGCTGGGCATACCAGGTTTCTTGAGTTCCCCAGCCTCAGGGTGGTCCAGACCCCCAAGGCTACAAGTGTAAATCATAGAGTTGAGCATGGTTCCTGGGAGATACTTCCAGAAGGGGGTGAATGGTCCATCTGTAGACTGTGCAATTACTGAGCACCTACTGTGTACTGGTCTTGGAGCTGGGCACTGGGGCACAACACCCAAGTGGTACCTGTGACTGGTCCAGCCCTGCCCTCCAAGACAAGCTGGGCCATCAGAGCTTCCCCTTTAGTCCCAAATGTGACAACTTCCGTCCATACATTTTGCTCCAAGATTCTCATACCTGGGTGATTAAACCCATTGTCCAGATGAGGAAACTGAGGCTCAGAGAGCTCCTCCCTAGGGACTAGACCAGTCCACCCTGGGGCTCACACCTACCAAGAGGCCTTCTTGGCACCCACACACCACCATTGTCCTCCCTGGGGAGGCCTGCTGTGGGGCTGAGTCACTGGGTGGAGCAGCCTATGGGGGCTCCCAATAAGCTGCCACCTCTGCCCAGCCTCAAGGCCACAAGGCCCTGGCACAGGGACAGGCAGCCAATGGCTGGCTGATGCCAGAGGGCCCTCAAGGGAGGCCCACCTCCGCCCCAGCCTGACTTTGGCCTTTGTTCTCTGGGTGCTTCAGGCTGGAGCCCGAGAGCTGTCTCCCCAACCTGCTGCCTCCTTCCACCCTAGCCATACCTACTGTGCTTGCCCTAGGCTGAGAACCCTTCAGTGAGAGAGGTCACCCCACTTCTGTTTGGTAAAACTAACATCAAGGACAGATTCTCACCAATTGGGGGGGGATGGGTTGGGGGATGTGGCATGGTGATAATAGCTTCCAGAAGACAGACCCAGTATGTGTTTGGGTTATGGTTGTCCACGGAGAGAATGTAATTGGACTTGGGACTTCAGGGCCACCCTCTTGACATCCATTTTCATTTATCTCCAAAGTGGGTACGTTCTCCTGGGGTGTAAGTAGATCATCTCACTCTCCCACCCCACCCCGCTCCTCGGCATTTCAAAAGATGTGGCTGGAGAGAGAAGTACTCATCACCCAAACCCGACCGTTCTCACACATCTCATCATCTCATCTTAGGGTGTGCCCCTGCAGGGGTGATGGGGAGCTGGTGGTTTCTTGGTCCATTCCACCCCCATGGGAGGGCCTGACCCTGACAAGTTCATGTTCACTATGACACCACCCCCCCAGGCCTGGGTTAGGGCTCATTCATTCATTCATTCTCTCTGGGAAGAAGGTTCCTCCTAGAGAGCTGGTTGGTCCTGAGGTTGGGTGTCCCAAATAGTATGGGGAGGCTTATTGCCCCTTCCAGATGAGGAAGGGAATGCTGTCCATGGTGGGTGTTCAGTGGATAGTGAAGCAGCAGTTCCACCAGCCACTCCCCACACCTGACTTCTCTGGTACTCTCAGGTGTGACTAGAAGGAAGGGAGGGGACCCAGGGATGCTTTGACTCCTGCCCCTTGGCTAGGACTTGTACTGGAGAGCAGGTGGCCATGAAAGCTGGGCAGGGGGCTCTGAGGGTGTCCAAAGCCCCTGCCTCATGCCTCCTGTTGTCAGGTGTCAGCTAAAGATCCAGAAGGGTCTCTGAATGTATCCCACAGGACCCCAACCTACCTGGGGTCCAGAGACATTGGGTGTGACCAGAAGGAAAAGTAAAGTTGATGGACAAAGAGCAAGGAGCACTCTGGGCAGGAGAGCAGGGGCAAAGGTAGGGAGGAGAGACTACATAGGGTGTACTTAAGAAAGCTGTGAGGCAGGAGCCCCCAAAATGGAGGCAGAGGGGCCAAGGTTATAGGGCAGGGTTTCGAATACCACAGGGAGGGGTCAGATCTTATTAGTGGGTCATTAGGGAGCCATGGCAGAGATCTGAGCAGGAAAGGGATGTGATACCAGTAGCTTCGTGTAGAGGAGGGTTCAGAGGGGAACCCTCTGGGGAGGGATGGTCACTGAGAGAGAGAGAAGGCAGGCCCTGGGCAGATGAGTCAGGTGAATCTGGGATAGATTTGAGGGTGAACTGAAGAGTCACCCTTAGTGGGGATGAGGAGACAGCTACCAAACAGTGTGGAGTGTGGAGTTGGGGACCTGCATGAATTAATAATAGTGCCCTTCTCTGAGCAAAGACTTCTTATGGCCAGTGATGACAATAAGGGCTGGCCAGGAGGGACTGGATGCCAGGGAGCAGTGAGTGAATAAATGAATGAATGAACACTGACCTGGACTGAACCCAAATCCAGGCTGGACCCCTCTCCTGGACTGAGCCAGACCATAGAACTACCTCTTTCTACTGGATTCCCCCACCTGTTGCCCTGTGCCCATCCATTCCCAGGGCCCAAGCCACCTGCCAAGAGTAGCCCCTTGCTACTCTTGGCCTGGTGCCCCAGGTGACCCATAGCTCCTGAATCAGGGCCCCCAAGGCCTGTCCCACCACATTCTGGGGCAGCGTGTGCAAACACGGGGTACTCTCCCTCCTTCCTGCATGTGCACTGGCTGGCGCAGTTCCCTGGTGGTGGGGGTGAGAGTGGGAGGGGTAGGCGACAGGGAGCCAGGCTGGATTCCTGCTGCCCACACACGCACCCACAGGGTGGCCTCGCTGACCTCTGCTCATGGTGACATGGAAAGCATTTCTGTGTTCCCTAGGGGTGACCCCTGGCTCCTGAGACTTTTCCAGATCCCCTGAGCTTCTCCCAGGAGGAGGCAGGAGTAGCTCCATTGTTCAGATGGGGAACCCCAGACTTAGGCCTTCACCTGAGCCCGGCTAGGCTCCAACACTGCATTCGCCTGGCCTCCCAAACTCCTTTACCTGCTCCGAGGTTCCTTCCACAAGTGAGAGAAGGGCATTCCAGGCCACCAGCACCTGCCAGGCTAAGAGGCGTGGGTGGGTCTTACTCAAGGGCCTTGAGGAAAAAAAGCCAGGAGGGTGACACGGTCTCACTAGGGGCATGGGAGCTCAGTGAGAAATGCTGAGGTGTCCCTGGGCTGGTGAGGGTGATTGGGAAGAGGGTACAATGTGGGTAAAGGCTGGGAGGTTGCACAGCAAGTCATCCCCTGTGTGTGCTGAGGGCCATAGAAAGCCCTTGGCAGTTAGTGGTACTAACCCCAATCCCAGCCACCCTGTCCGGAGTCCGAACCCAACTTGGCCTCCTTCCCCACCCCAGTTTAGCCCACTTCCCACCTCACAGCCTCACCAGCCCTCCAGGTTCCCCTCATGACTGTTCCTCCAATCACTTGTGAGTTTCCAGGCCTTTATCCTGGTTGTGCCCTCCTCCTAGGCCACCCTTCCTCTTGTTGTGCCTGCTTATCTCCTCCTTATACTTCAGCCCTCAGATTGGGTGCTGCCTCCTCCAGGAAGCCTCCTGGTTTTTATGGACAGGTTTGAGGCCTGACAGGTGGGTGTCTGG